CTCCCAAGGCAATAGAAATAAAAACAAAAAAAACCCACAAATGGGACCTAATCAAACTTACAAGCTTTTGCATAGTAAAGGAAACCATAAACAAAATGAAAAGACAACATATGGAATGGGAGAAAATATTTGCAAATGATGTGACCGACAAGGGCTTAATTTCCAAAATATACAAACAGCTCATACAACTCAACAACAAATAATAAATAACCCAATCGAAAAATGGGCAGAAGACCTTAAATACACATTTTTCCAAAGAAGACATACAGATGGCCAATAGGCACATGCAAAGATGCTCAACATAGCAAATTATTAGAGAAATTCAAATCAAAACTGCAAGGAGGTACCACCTCACACCACTCAGGATGGCCATAATTAAAAAGTCTACAAGTAACAAATGCTGGAGAGGGTGTGGAGAAAAGGGAACCCTGCTACACTGTTGGTGGGAATGTAAATTGGTGCAGCCACTAATGGAAAACAGTAGGGAGCTTCCTCAGAAAACTAAAAACAGAGCTACCATATATATGATCTAGCAATCACACTCCTGGGCATATATCTGGACAATACTATAATTCGAAAAGATACATGCACCCCTATGTTCATAGCAGCACTATTCACAATAGCTAAGTCAAGGAAACAACCTAAATGCCCATCCACAGATGAATGGATCAAGAAGATGTGGTACATGTATACAATGGAATGCTACTCAGCCATAAAAAAGAACAAAATTGTGCCATTTGCAACAACATGGATGCAACTAGAGAGTATCATACTAACTGAAGTAAGTCAGAAAGAGGAGGACAAACACCATATGATGTCACTTACATGTGGAATCTAAAATATGACACAAATGAACCTACCTAGGAAACAGAAACAGACTCACAGACATAGAGAACAGACTTGTGGTTGCCAAGGGGGGAGGGGGTGGGGGAGGGATGGATTAGGACTGAGAGTTTGGGGTTAGCAGATGCAAACTATTACACATAGAACTGATAAACAACGAGTTCCTACTGTAATAGCACAGGGAACTACATTCAATATCCTGTGATAAAACAATGGAAAAGAATATGAAAAAGAATATACGTATATGTATAAATGAATCACTTTGCTGTACAGCAGAAATTAACACAACATTGTGAATCAACTATACTTCAATAAAAAAATAAATTAAAAAAAAATCTCTGCCATACAAATCCCTTCTAAACCCTGACCTCATCACCTTTTCCTTGAGGAAGGGTATTACTGCCCTGCAGGCCAACAGGAAGGCCACCAGGAGCAAAGCAGACCTTCCCTTCACAGCCTGCCCACCCCCTTGTCGATGCTTCTTGCCTTCAGTTCCCAATCCTAGGAATGTGCTTTGAAACAGGGCCAAGGTGAGAGGACATGAGGATTCCTTGCCATGAGGTCAGAGACTGGGAAGTTCTGAGTAGAGATTTCCTCTCATAAAATGAAAGCTTTGGAATATGCCAGAAGGAAAAAATGCCAAAGGAAACGGTCTTCCCTTAGCTGCCTCCGTAGGAGGGATGCTACTAGCGTCAAGTACAACAAGGACAGGGGAGCCAGGCCCTGGAAGGTGGGCAGACGTGGTTTTGGGACCAGGTGTAGCTGTTTTACAATTAAAGGGTCAGATGCTGAAAACAGTGTTTTGGGGGAGCTACGGACAAATGAATTCGTAACATCCGTTTACATCTCTCGGTGCCTCCAGTCCCCTCCCTCCACTCAAATTTGTCTACCTTTTCTGGGGTGGCTACTTATTTTCAGCACTGAGATGGAAGACAGACAAAAGAAGAGCACTTTAAGAAATGCTCCAGACCAAGAAGATGCACTCTGAGTGCAGATCTTATTCCCAGGAGGTAATGATGGGAGAAGCTAAAGTAAACTGCCAAGATTGGTCACCGAGCATCTGAAATGCCTGTTTCTTTTCTCTGACACAAGTCATGCAGCACTTTGGCGATCAGCACTTTGCCAAGTGCAAAGCGGATGTCTGCTGTTGAAGAATGCATGCAAGACTGAAGCCAGCGACACTGTAATCCACCAAATGCCTGTGATGCAACCCACAGCTCCCCCAGCTCACAAGTTTCCTCACTGAAGTCATTTCCAGGGAAGCCAGCAAGAAATACTGAAATATGCAGGAAGAGCCCAGAAAGGCTGAAGGGATTGAGTTTTCCAAGCAAACAGCAAGTGTGGAGGGACTGTTTTTCTACAACGGAGGGGGCTCCAGGGAGAAGAGCTGCACATGTGTGAAGCCAACCTTCATACTTCACCAGGGATCACCTGGATACTTCAAGTTCAATGCAAATGCACAGCAGTAAAGAAAAAAAGAAAAGCATCAAGAAAAAGGTCTTCCCTGGTTTTGGCAACAACAGCTGGTGTGACCTCCATTAATCATAGAATTGGGCATCTACAGGCCTTGCTCGCTGGAGAGAAGTCTCAGGCAGGTAGCAGCAATGACCTGGAGGCAGCTGAGACCCCTGTCTGTGGAGGGAGGAGGGCGTGCCCAGCGACTGAGATACCAAAGCATCCTTTAGTTCCTTGCACCTGCATACCCTTAACCTGGCAAACTGCGCTTCATAGAGTACGAAGCCCAGGTTTCCCTATGCCCTAACGGAAGACATTAGGTTTTAAAGATGAACACAAGAAGACTTCTGAACACAGAAATAAAATGCACTGAAAGACTCTGGAATCTGTACTCCTAGTCACTGTCACCAAGAAGTGCTGCTGCTCTCTGTTTTTCTCACTGTCCTACAGCAGATGAAGTTGGAGATTTTGAAAAGCAACTGGTAATTCCTCAGTCTGACTTTCAGCTCTGCAGCCTTGCACTGGCCTTGGCCTCTCAACTCGTCTGGCATGTTGTCATTGTCCTAACAGAGATCACTACTGCCGTGGACACCTGGCATGTGGACAGGTGGCTGTGTCAACATAAGAGGTTGGCTTTCATTTGGACTGCATAGGCCTTTGACAATAAGGTTTTTGCCCCTATTAAATGTTCCTCTTGGAGAGAAACATCAAATGAAAGAGACTTACAGGCTTTTGGCTGTGGCTTGTATTTTAGAACCATAATGGGAATGGGGTGTATAAAGCAATCTGACATTTCCCCATCTGGTCCCACTTGTTGACAAGTATCCCCCACCCATGCTCTCAACCACTTGAAAAGCCAGTGAAACAAAAGAAAACTTGTGCTAGAACATTCTGGCCTTTCAGCAG